TTAAGTATGTTATTTGCTTTTCAGATGAAGATACCATAAGCCAAGTGAGTTCTTACGTTTTGGTTATGCTTGGAATGTACCCTCACTATCAAGAAAGAGTAGTAAAAGAAATCGACGCTGTACTGGGAAAAGAAGATATAAGAGAAGATGATATATCAAGATTAGAATTTATGGAGATGGTCATAAAGGAAGTGATGAGACTTTTTCCTATAGCACCGTTCATTATGAGGAAGGCTGTTGCAGATACCGAAGTTGGTGAGTTTTTTTCACAATTATTTAGAAAAAAATCATAAAAAAAAAAAAAAAAAAAAAAAAAAAAATAATTAAATATTTTGGATTTGATTCATTTTTTTTTGTTATTTTATAATAGCTTCCAATAGTTTGTCCAAAGATAATGGCAGTGACAGTTGGTTGTCATAGCGTAACAGCTTTTTACTTTTTCCAGCTTTTTCAATGCCTCCTGGGTACACATTTTAAATAAGGTAGGTGACAATCTGCACCTTTGTCTGAGTCCTTCTAATGTCAGGAAGGATTTCGGAAGGAATTTCCCTTGTGTGATCATACTTTTTAATTTTTTGTAGAGTGGGTGGGTCAAATTCGACGCTTTTAAATGGAAACACCCTTTTCTGTAGGAGATAGACAAAAACTAATATCGGTGTCTGGAGCTCAGTTTTTGTCAAAAACATGATGGTGAAAACCGCATATCGATATCTGTTATCGAATCTTCCGTATAATCTAGATAAGTATATATGCATTTTTAACAATGATATGTATATATAAAATAAAATAAATATAAATAAAGAATATATATAAATAAAAAAAAAATATAAAAAAATATATATATATATATATAAAATATGCATTTTTAACAAATCGAACTTTTTGGCCATGGAAATTTTTGTATTTTTATGAAAACATTTTCCAAGCAGCCTTTTTTACGTAGAATTTAATGGTTTTAAGTTAATTTTTTTAAAATTAATAATTTCGAATTATTCACAGAAAATTTGATTTTTTATCGGGACAACCTGTATATTTTAATTTATTAGAAAAGAATTTAAAATTACCTTTCAAAATATATAACACACGTTAGATATTTTGCTCGATTCCTCTTCGAGATTAGAGTATATAAAAATTCGTCCGCTTTAAATAAGTAGGCTTTCTGCACCAGTTGTAATGCAAAAAAAAAATTCTAGCTGTGAGCATGGAATTAAAAGAAAATAATATTAAAAAAAAAAAAAAAAAATTTATAAAATTTTAAATATATTTATCAACATCAAAACACATTTAAACTATATCAATACAATAAAAATAAAATATGCAACCAAAACTTGAGATTTTGCTACAGGTGTTTCGACCGTCTTCTGTTATGGACATACAGGGCAGCTTTTTGACATTTCTCGCGGATTCATTAACTCAGTGGGGGTAAAGATACCCTCTCATAAGTGCTAAGTATTATTTCTTAATTTCTTGTCTAGATTATACGGAAGAATAAGGAACCTGGAACTTTATTCTTCCGCAATATTATACATAAGATTTAGAAATCCATGGGCACTAAGTCAGACGGTCTCGACGGCCAACGGCTGGGATCTGGTTAGCTATTCAATTATTTCTGAAATTGCTGCAAAAATTTGCTGATTGATAACTTCAGCGTTCAGGGCATCGGCGTCGGCGTCGTCTTGCTGGAAAAAATTTATGTTTTCGAGTTCATTCATTAATTAAAAATAATGAGGGATGTCCCAAATAAAAAATCATTTTTTCTGTTATTACCCTAATATTAATTAAAAAATATCCATAACTTCTAACCATTAAATTCTACGTAAAAACGTGCTTTGGGAATGTTTTCATAGATACAAAATTTTCCATAGGCAAAAAGTTACAGCGATTTGTTAAACATATGCACATTTTGAAAAAACACCCGTAACTCCGAAACGGTAACAGATATTGATGTGCGGTTTTCACCATCATGTTTGTGATGAAAATTGAGCTCCAGACACCGATATTAGTTTTCGTCTATCTCCTATAGAAAAGGGTGTTTCCATTTAAAAGCGTCGAATTTGACCTACCCTGTACATATTCCAGATTGCATTGATATATATTTTACTCATACCTGTTTCAACCAAGATTTCAAATAATTTCTGCAAAGGTACCGTGTCATAGACTTTCTCTCATAATCATCATCATCATTTTCAGCTTATTCAACCATTTACAATTATGTTGTAGCCTCCCTGACATACTCTCTTTTTAGTTGGGCCCATTGTTGTCTATTGTTGGCTATGCGAGCCCAAGTTATCCCATCTCAGGTTCGGTCTTCCTATATGTCTCGTAATTCCTCATGTGTACCATGCTGTAATTTTTGTGGTTAGGTTAGGTTTTATCTGTTGTCCGTTCTTCTTGCCAATTGTCCTGCCCATTGCCATTTGAGGGATTTGACTCTGAGGCTTTCTCTCAATCTATAAAAATCAGATGTGTATCCAAATTTCGAGCTCTCCTTTTATCAATTATTTGAAATGTTGCTTTTTACATCCCTTGCAATGTGTTATTTGGCTTGGAAGCTGCTAATTGAGTCGACAATATCCGTTTAAATAGTTTCTGTATTGCAGCTACTATTAGTATACATAGTTCTATTGTATCTCATAGTATTTTCAAACTTCAAAATTCTGTCTTACTTTATGATACCAGGAACTCCATACATACCTATTTATAAGGTAGTTTTGTGTAACCGCGCAGGCAGTAGAAGCAACAATCTCGATAGTTTTGATGCTTAACGCGCGATCTGAGTAAAAATTGAAGGTCCTGGCACACAAGCTGATACTGCCGTGACACACAAGCTCGCGAGAGGAAATGTGGTAACGTGGTAATGTGGTAATCTTGGGGCGTCGTAACTCGAGCCCTAGCTAGAGGACTGAAACTGAGAATATAATTTTTTTCATGATATTTTGACGAGGTTCCATGCATTACAAAACCCCATCATCAATGGCGAAAAAATCTTTACTTAAGGTAAAAATTCTCTATAACAGAAACTATTCTATTTTGCAATAAAAGCATGGACAATATGGACATTAGGGAGAAAGACATGGGCATCCGTTATTTTAAGGACTTAAAAATGTCGAATAAATGTATTATTGTTTTGTTCAAGTATCTCAAAAGAATTTATGTTTATTTCAGAGGGATACACTATTCCTAAAGGCGCTTCTGTCATGATAGCCATTAGCCTGGATGCATAGAGATCCAGTCCATTGGGAAAAGCCAGACGAATTCTACCTGAACATTTTTATCCAGAAGCAGTTCAAAAACGCCATCCTTATGCCTACGTGCCTTTCAGCGCAGGCTCTAGACAATGCATAGGTTTGAATTTTATTTTTATTTTACAACTAATTTTTATTCTGTTACAAAGGTTTTGTTAGTTTACCATATTAAGAAAGGGCGAACTCGGTGAACTGCTGTAAATCGTTTTTTTGTGATTTTTTATTGGCTATACAGGGTGTCCCAGAAATAAGTGCAGATATTTTAAGTGGTAATATATTTCGAGTTTTGCGAATAAAAATTGTTGACATTTTCCGATAAATTTTAAAAACTTTTAGTGCCACTTGTTTATTTACCTGATATTTCATGGTGTATCTAAACCTTGCAGTGTTGTCACTTCCTACGTTATCCATATTCATCATGTTTTTGTTTTCACTGTAATTTCAATCTGTAAATAAAAAACATAAAAATACTCTTAAAATTGCCGTATTACGAAGTAGTTTCATTAAAAAAAACATTCTTTTAAATATTTTGCTTGTATTTACCCTTTCAATGAGAACCAAACTGGGTAAAATTATTCTTAAGTTTACGAAAATCATGATTATACCGCAAGATAACTTTATTCAGCACTAAATTTAATAAAATATTTTACCATATTATTCATACTGAGATCACATAAAAGAAAATACCAACAGGTTTATCGGAATTCACCACATTCGGAATATCGACAAAATCAGACAAATAAACCGTATACAAACGACACACAGCAATGCATTCAAATTTCACTAGTGGATTTCAAATTTCACTAATTATAGCATATACTTCTTTTCGCTATCTGGCAACACAGGGCGTCTAAGAAGCTGAAAAACCTCGTGAAAAAAACCTTAATAGCCGGTTATCGCCAGCGGTTCCCAAAATGTTGCCATTATTTTTTTAAAATTTCAAAGTTAAATAACCTTGATTATTTTAATTTATTTTTAAAATGGACACCCTGTATAATTTTTTATTGATCTGGTTTATTATAAATATTATAGAGTCTTCATCATTTTTATTAAAATCAGTGAATATGTTGAAATCAAATTCTAAAATATTTAGTATAGTAGGTATTATATGAATGAAAAAAAGGTGTCATAATGATTTTTGAAAATCTTGGTTTTTTTGTATTAGATACGTGAATTATTTTTGCTTTTTTATAACTTCTTTCTTTTAACAGGTAAAATATACGCCTACATGGCCATGAAAATCAAAGCCACACCTTTTGCAAAAGTTTAGCGTTGAGGCGGATGGTATAAGATAAAGCTCTAATGCTGATATAAGTGTCAGATTCAAAGATGGGGTTTACCCTGTCAGAATAAAGAGAAGAACGTAATATACTGTGTGTTTTATTTACAACCAACATCCCTTAATATAGACACTAGCTGACCCGGCAAACGTTGTTTTGCCATATAAATTATTCCTAGGATTAATCTCATCCCTACTTTGTAACTATTGATCAGTTATCGTTATATCGCTATTAAAAAATAGGGGCTGATGGTATAAGGGTGGAAATTTAGGGTTGTATGTATTTTTAGCCTTGTATACCGAACGGCTCTAGTATAGCAAGCTGCCTTGCTACTCCCAAGGCGTTAAACGCTATAAACGGGAGCTATTATTATTATTATGTATTTTTAGTGCCACATAAAAAAATAAAAAAAAAATTTACCTCAAAAAAAAAATGGGGTGGACCACCTTTCTCACTTAGGAGTATAAAAATTAAATAACAACCTATTCTCAGACCTACTGAATATACAAAAAACATTTCGGAGGTGTATTGTAACAAAAACTATTAAAAATAGGGGTTGATGGAAGAAGGGTGAAAATTTAGGGTTGCATGTATTTTTTAATGCCACGTTATAAAAAAATCAAAATAAAAAACATTGTCCACACAGTACAAAAATGGGGTGGACTACCCTTATCATTTAGGGATATAAAAAATAGATAGCAACCTATTTTCAGACCTACTGATATACATATAAAATTTCATTAAAATCGGTCAAGCCGTTTCGAAGGTATATGGCAACTAAAACTATTAAAAAATTAACCCCTATTAAAAAATGGGGGTTGATGGTAGAAGGGTAAAAATTTAAGGTTGTACGTATATTTAATACCACGTCATAAACAAATAAAAGTAAAATTTTGTCCACAAAGTAAAAAAAAACTTGGGGTGGACCACCCTTATCGCTTAGGGGTATAAAAAATAGATGACAACCTATTCTCAGACCTAGTGAATATACATATAAAATTTCATTACAATCGGTTAAGCCGTTTCGGAGGAGTATGGTAACTGAAACTATTAAAAAAAACAAACCCTAAATCTAATACCTATGTTGCCATATTATCAAGAAATTATGTATTTTAACTAAAACACTAAAAAAATTTCGAATTTTCAAATTTTTTTTCGCGTAAAAAACCTTATAGTTGTATTTCTGGGGTTGAACTAATATAATATATAATAATTACCAAACCAAACCAGTTAAAATACTTGCACTTATTTCTGGGACACCTTGTATATTAGATTGCTAAACATTTAAACTAGATTTATGAAAATAGATAAAAAATTCATATTCTAGTTACAAAAGTGCTTCACATTTTAGATCAACAGGTGTGTGTGATTTGTAAACAAAATTTACATAAAAATATATTTCATATTGAGACACAGGTCAATGAAATATGTTCTAAAAGGTTATAGTTGTGAAGAAACGCGAAAAGCATTAGAATATAAAAATTTTCCTATTTCAAGAACAACTCTAGTTTTAATAAATATCTACATATATTTACAGGGTGCTTCACAAAATCTCTTTATTATCATATTTTAGGATATCAATCAATATAAGATTGTGAGGATACTGTGTCTTTTATTCCCTCATCGGAGGATATTCATTGAGAAAATCATTTATTTCTTATTATACAGGGTGGCGCACCTCATTTGCCTCGGTTGGCACATTTAAATTATTGAATAAAGTCCATAAAG